TTCTACGTACAAAGAGATTCAGTCAACAGTCAATATAAATCTATCGCTTTTCAAGTTTAATCAAATCAGTCTTGGCCTGCCAAGGACTGTAGAAGTCATAAGTTCAATTAAGCTGTTTTTGATCCTCATGTCTGTTTCCCTGCCAAGTTTGGGTGTTTTATTTCTTCTCTGGCTTTTATTTTCCTGCCATTGTTCTTTTTGTGTTTGCATAAAGCCAAAGAAAAATAAGCATTGTTATCAGCCTCTCTCTGGGTAATAGGAAAATGATCAGCACACTCTGCGAGAAAATAACAAGAATCTATTCCTTTCTACGGTACAGTAAAGATCTCACCTTTACTGTGCACTGCTTGCTTCTATGAACAGCCAACTAGTGTTTCCAACAAAGCACCAAATGGATGTGTGTGTGTAGTACTGACATTGGCAGGATACAAGTGACTCCAGCAGCCCTGACTTAAACTAGGTAGCCATGACGTGGAGGTGCCGGTGTTGGACTGGGGTGGACAAGGTCAGAAGTCACACAACGCCAGGTTATAGTCCAACAGGTTTATTTAAAATTACAAGACTTCACCTGATGAAGGAGCAGTGCTCCAAAAGTTTGTGATTTTAACTAAACCTGCTGGACTATAACCTGGTGTCGTGTGACTTCTGACCTTAAGTTAAATAGACAGAAAGTGGCTCAGACACCACCCACCCTGATCTTAGCAGCATGAGGCCTAGGAGATTTTAAATTGCATGTCTTGTTTACAGAAGCCCTGCTTCCCCAAACTCCTTGGCCCAAAACTGACTAGAAGCAGCAGCTGACTGATGGGCAGGAGAAGAACATCAAGCGACAGGAGGACCTCACTATTTTCAAAGGCAGACACAGAAATAGGCAGGGAATAGAGGGATACAGACTGCATGGAGGCATCATGTGTCAGTGCAGACTTGGTGGGCCGAAGGTCCTGTTCCTGTGCTGTACTGTTCTTTGGTGTTCAGAAGGGGCAGAGAATGGAAATGCCTGGGTTTGAGGACATTTATATGTGCAGCTCGAAATGCACTTTTGTTCTCTTTTGGCCCCACACAGCAAATTAAATGAAAAGCTAAACATGGTTTTTGGTCATGTTCAGGCCGATATTTCTTTCTTGTGGTGAATTAATCAGTTCAGAGTTCTGATTTGAGTCCAGATGTATCATCAGGATTCAATGTAGATTTTTATAGAAGGATCTCACTGCTTTCCAACCGGCTGTCTGTTTCGGCTGCTCAGAAGCATGTATGATTGGCAGTTTTGATTTTTGGAGGTTACATGTTCGTTTCACTGTTGTGAAGTTGGATAGAGAATTTGTGGACTGAGAGGCAGAACATTAGAATTTGGTATTTGTAAAGTATTGGTGATTGTAAAATGCTAGGGGCAAAAGCAGTGCGTGGTCCCTTTAAGAGATGATGTGCTTTTTCTATGCTTAGAAATTCAAAGAGGATGTCTGTGGGCAGCAGCTTGTGGGTTTGCAGGTACACAGAGCACCTGAATTGAAACACTTGTACCAAGAGGCTGTACAGTCAGCAGGCCAAGCGGCAGTTTTGTTTTGTTATCAAGACAATAAGTTTTGAATTTCACCAACTGACTTGAACCAGGCACGCAGATACAAAAACCAATTAAGTTTAAATCTGATAGTTTTGAAAACATTGGACCAATCCTATTGTAAGAATTATTGATATGTCACCAAGGGTATAACAGAAGGGGCAGTGGGGCAAAGACAGGAGAGTGAACTGCCATCTGCAAGAGTTAACAGCTCTCGGCTCTCAAGGCAGAATCGCTTGCTCTCACAGTCTTCTCTAAGTTTTAGAGAATGCACCATCTAAATCAAAGGTACCTGTGGCACAACTAGTTAATATTCCTGACAGAACATTTGACAGAGAAGGCACAGAACATTCCAGAAGACACATAAATTGTAATTTTGAGAGACTAAGTTCCATTTTTATTGTTTTTGTTTTATATAAGTGGAACTTGTATTTATTGGAACAGCATACTATTAGAATCTTGTTTTATGCAGGAATAGTTAGTTAGAAGGGGTTTGTTTGGTCTGTTAATAATTTATTTAATTTGTTCACTGTTAGAGTTAGATAAATGAATTGTTACTTGTTGATTGTAAAGTGACTGTTAGGGGTTTATTTTAGTTAAACACTAGAAGTTGCTGAGAAAACGTATTACACTCCTGCTCACGCTACTTTTAACAGCTTATAGGGTGAGGCACTCCTCTCTGGGTGTTTTGGTTTTAGTTCTCAGAGTGGGGGGGTCAACCTCCGCTTTATAACATCCCTTTGGTTGAACATTAAAGATGATGGGAAGTGCATGCAAGGGACACATATATTCCTCATTCTTCAGAGACCATTGTGATAGGATCTAGATACTCCATCAGTCCAAACAATTTCCACCGATGATTTTATGAGTGCTGACCATAACACATAGGAGCAGAAGTTAGGCCATTCGGCCCGTTGAGTCTGCTCTGCCATTCAATCATGGCTGATAAGTTTCTTAATCCCATTCTCCTGCTTCCTCCCTGTAACCCTTGATCCCCTTGACAATCAAGAACCTATCTCAGTCTTAAATGTACTCAATGACCTGGCCTCACCAGCCTTCTGTGGCAGTGAATTCCACAGATTCACCACTCTCTAGCTGAAGAGGTTTGCCTTTATCTCTGTTCTAAAAGGTCTTTCCTTTACTCTAAGGCTGTTCCCTCAGGTCCTAGTCTCTCCTACCAATGAAAACATCTTCCCAACATCCACTCTATCCAGGCCATTCAGTATTCTGTAAGTTTCAATTAGATCCCCCCTCATCCTTCTAAACTCTACTGAGTATAGACCCAGAGTCCTCAAACGTTACTCATATGTTAAGATTTTCATTCCTGGGACCATTCTTGTGAACCTCCTCTGAACCAGCTCGTAGGGCCAGACATCTTTCCTGAGATAAGGGGCCCAAAACTGTGCACAATACTCCAAATGTGGCCTGACCAGAGCCTTATAGAGCCTCTGAAGTACATCCCTGCGTTTATATTCAAGTCCTCTCAAAATAAATGCCTTGGTCTTGTTTTAATGAATTAATGAAGAGGGTCTATTTTGTATTGACAAGGAACAGATGAAACACTTTAGAATTCTGTAATTGTTCTTTTGTTACTGTTCAGTTTTTTTAAAAAAAAGACAAACTTGTTTCTTTTGTTTACAGCTTAAGCCATAATTCGATAAAATCTTCATTCTATCACTTTCTGAAGTTACAGCGGTCTCGATAGATCCCATGAAACAGGCAGTCAGCTAAACATTGTAAAGAAGGGTTTCTGTTCCCCATTTTGTACGATTACTAGGTATTGAACACATGATATCAGAGTCTAATTCTTAAGGAATGAAGTCTTGACAACAAAAGTGACCTTTGATACCAGCTGCACAAGAAATAATAGATGTAACTCCCAGCTTCAGGACTGTCAAATCTTTGCAGTTACACAAAGGTTGTGTGGTTAGATGTATATGTGACTGAATCCATGCACTTTAACTGTAATATTATATTGCCTGAGGTGTCTTTATATTTATTCAAACATCACTTCCACCTTCCTCACTTTATAAAATTGAATTCTTAGTTTTTGTTTCTCCATGGTCATGGAGGAAATGCAAAGAAATTCTCACATGCAGCAAAAATTTAAAAATAAGTTAACTGATTTGTTCAGAACTGATAGTTATCGAAGATGCTACATCACAATATTATAAATGTGGCAAATGTTTTTGACAGCATGAAAAGCTGTTGTTGGAATTTAAAATTAGATTTAATGGATTGTGGAATAATAATTCTAACAAACCAAGAGGCAATTCCATCCATTTTATTAAATTACTATATTAACCCATTATTAAACATTCCATGTGCTAAAGAAGTTACAAAGAAGTTACTGTGCAAGTGTGATATGAGAAATTTCTGCAGGTGTAATTGGCTGAGAAACTTATGAGTCTTAATGTGATTGAATGTCATTGTGCCTGTAGAGTTGAATCATTTATCAAAATTTTACTGATACACAAAATATTCTGCTTGACATTTGTCTGCTTGACATCAAATAATGATCTAATGATTCCAAGACCACAAGCAAGCAGAAATATGTATTTTGCACAAACATTATTAAGAAGCAATAAAAAAGCTACTGTGAATCTTTCAGCTCAATATACCCTGGATAATATAGCAGTTGAAATGAACAAATAGAGCAAAATACAGGTCTACATTATTTAGAGAACAGTCAACTTAAATAATGCAAAAATTTTATTTGAAAGACCGCTTATGTTTCAGAAGGGAGACATGTCAAGTATCCTATTAATGTTTGTATCAGTATTTCTATCTCTAGAGCATATAAACAAGATACATATTGAGTACATAACAGTGCATCACTCTTAGATTAATCTGAAAAGTCACAAAATGAATTTTAAAAATCTTTTATTTAGACAAATTAGAATGCAAATAGGATATAGTTTAGAAGTAAATATCGTGGCTAATTTAATACAAAATTGATCAACCTCAAATAACATTTATTGTACTATTATTCTTTACACAATCTGTCTGCATCTGTGGTCCATTGGGTCCTTTTTTTTATCCAATTTGATTCCTGTAATGGGATTTGGATCAGTCCTGCATTCCAGGATAGACCTGGATTGACTGCATATCTGTACACTAAATTACACGTGTTAGAGAAAGTACCAAAAATGATAGAAGACTCACTGGGAAAGAGTCGAAGGGAGCAGTGATGTTGCCTGTCTTCCGAACTATCACAGAATCTCCTTTTTTGCTTTGTTTCCACCCTCCCCCATTTGACTTATTTAAAAAGATTGCATTTCTGACTTTTTCCAGTACTGCTGAAAGGTAACAGAAGTGAAACATTAATTCTCTTTCTTTTCCCACATATGTCCCCTGACCCGCTGAATGTTTTCAAAGGGTCCTGGTACAATCTAAATGATGTCAAAGATAATGTTTTCAAAATTACTTAATTTTATTTTTTCAGATGCCATGCTTGGCAGAACTTCAAAGATGCAGCCCAGATTTTGGAAAGGGGAAGGTGTACAAACTCCACATGAGGAAGTGCTACTTTTCATTATCTGGATTGCACCAGGCCCATTAATAACTCAGATACTGCAACCTGAGGCACTGAGACAGAGTCTGTTCATCCAGCATTGAAGCAGAAATGGCCTGCTCCTATTTTCCATGTCTCTACACAGCTGAAGAGATGACGACAAAAAAAACAGTCCCTAGGCCGAGACTCAAACAACAATTGTAACGGCCACTCAAGTTACCAAAGTTAGCATGTGTTCAACAGAATTACTTGGATCCAAATGTCCATCTCTTTAATTAAAACTGTGACCTTAACCCTTAATGTTTATTGTAATATATTCTACGTGCATAAATGTATATAACCTAACGGTATTTCGCAATTACCAATGGGAGGCCGATTTTCTGATATTCGCAGTGGGACATAGAAATGTCATAGATATCATTGAATCCCTACAGTGTGGAAACAGGCCCTTCGGCCCAACAAGTCCACACCGACCCTCAGAGCATCCCACACAGACTCAGTATGTTCCAATTTGCAGACTCTGCTTCTCTATCTGTTATGTCAGAGCAGGAGGGTGCAAAGTGCTACAAAATGTGAGGTCTGACCATCATCCCATGCACTTCTAGGGCTCGGCCATGTTACGGGATAAGTGCATCACACCGAACGACAATTATCGTGGTAGTTCTCATGCTCCTCCCCGACCGTGGTTCCTAGCAACACCGGTTACATTCCAAGAATAAAGGATTCACCCTGGCAAGTGGCTGGGGCAGCTGTGAGAAGCTGTCTTGGGTCTCTGAGTACGACTGATGCTGGGGGAAACTAAATATCTCATCTCTTTTAGACTGAAACACCTCTACAAATCTACTGGAAGTCAATTGAAAAACACAGCTAGGTTTGAGTATGAAGTTGTCTGGATAGTAAATGAGTAGAGCAGTTAATCATGTTCTGTACTACAGTAAATCTTCATTCTCCTTTTCACTGTCTGCCTCAAAACAGGCAATTGCACTTTTCTCCTCAGGAACATATGCAAATGCATCCACCTCACCACCTCCATTACTGGGTTTCTGGAAGTGTATTTCGATATTATCCTGAAGGATTTCTTCATCCATTATGTCTGGAATTCCAGTAAAGAGGATACTCCTTTTAGAAATGACCTCCCGTACCTGAGGGTAAAGCAAAGAGCAGCAGGATATTTCAATAAAACAGAAGTACTTCTAACATGGAAAATCCAAACAGAAGAAGCTGGAAATATTTAGCAACATCTGTCAGAAAGGAAGAACAGCAGATTGAATTAACTCCGCAGAAGCTAGTATCCTGTCACCAGGTCACCCTTTATTTACACGTGGAGAGTCCTTGACACTGATCCAGCTCCCTCAGAGCCAGCTCTCAGGGTGGCCAGGATGTTTGACACCCCTGTTCTTCTCTGTCAGCCAGGGCTTCTGATTGAACCAGGTTAATAGCCAAAATCACGGAACCCGTTCAATGATGTCCAGCTGGCTGACCTTGTTACAATCACTACACTGACTTTACAGATTAAAAATATTTTTAAAAGGGAAACAGAGTAACAAGAGGGGTAAACAGAGACACCATTATAGGATGATTTGTGCAATGCTTGGATGGACAATGGGAGAGAAGGAAAAGTACAGATTCAAGAGGAGAAAATGGCAAATAAGTGAAATAACAAACAGAAACATGTACACATTACTGAGTTACTTTGATTCACCAAAACCAGAAAGGGACACAGGAAAAGCTAGCAAGGAAGAGGAGGTTCCAATGGTCCAGGACTACAGTAGAAAGAGGTGAAAAACAGTGAGAATTAACATGACTGAATGCATCTAAACAAGGGGTTGTAAATGTTACTCCCATGTTCCCGGATCACAGTGCTGGAACAGTTACTCCCGTATTCCCGGATCACTGTGCTGGAACTGTTACTCCCATGTTCCCTGATCACAGTGCTGGAACAGTTACTCCCGTGTTCCCAGATCACTGTGCTGGAACTGTTACTCCCGTGTTCCCGGATCACGGTGCTGGAACTGTTACTTCCTGCTCCTGGATTACTGTGCTGGAACTGTTACTCCCGTGTTCCCAGATCACTGTGCTGGAACTGTTACTCCCGTGTTCCTGGATCACGGTGCTGGAACTGTTACTCCCGTGTTCCCGGATCACTGTGTTGGAACTGTTACTTCCTGCTCCTGGATTACTGTGCTGGAACTGTTACTCCCGTGTTCCCTGATCACTGTGCTGGAACTGTTACTCCCGTGTTCCCGGATCACTGTGCTGGAACTGTTACTCCCGTGTTCCCAGTTCACTGTGCTGGAACTGTTACTCCCGTGTTCCCGGATCACGGTGCTGGAACTGTTACTCCCATGTTCC